ATACACAGTGGCAAATGTGATAAGAACATTTCGACTGGAAAATAGGTAAAAATATCATCATATCAAAAACATCTACACGGTTTCAGCAACTGCTTACAGTACTGTATTCTATGCACTATCAGCACTTCTGTTACCTTTTCCTGTGAAATTACTGTACTATTGTTTACTGTTTTTTTTTTTCTACATAGGGTTGAGGGTCAGGAACGACGAGAACACGAAGGAGGGGAAGAAACATCATTGGCCACAGAGCTATAGTCAATGTCCCAGGGCAACATGGTGGTAATATAACACTCTGTGCAGCCATTACACAGAGTGGGGTCCTCCACCGCCATGCCCATATGGGCCCTTACAACACAGCACTCATACTTACATTCTTGGACCAATTGCACAACATGACAGCAGCAAATCAAATCGATCATATGCAATACATTGTTGTCTGGGACAATGTGTCTTTCCACCGCTCTGCTCTGGTTCAGAACTGGTTTCAGCAACATCCACATTTCACCGTCCTATATCTTCCACCATACTCTCCATTTCTCAACCCTATAGACAAGTCTTTCTCGGCATGGCAGTGGAAGGTATATGATCTCCGTCTCCAGGCTGAGGTACCCCTCATCCAGGCCATGGAGGAGGCCTGTGACCAGATGGAGGTAGCGGCAATGCAAGGATGAATTCGCCATTCAAGACGTTTCTTTCCAAGGTGACTTCCTAATGACAACATTACCTGCGATGATGATGAAATTCTCTGGCCAGATCCAGCTAGGCGAAGAGACAATGTCTAGGTTTTGTTTTGTTTTTTACAGTAAACTTACAGTACAATACGTAAAGGGACATTTTGTTACAGTATTATGAATCTCCATGTCAACATTTTGGGCGTGTTGAGAAATAAATGAGTTTCTTCAGTCTGCAACATTGGTCTTGTGTAATGTTTGGTGAATTTACATTATATTTGTACTTTGTTGATGGTAGCCAACTCTAATCATAGGGAAGTAGAAGAGCTAAAAGTGTTTTAGGTTTATCACAGCAGAGTGTAACTCATGCAAACAGAGTATAGTAATGTGAAACATGTGTGTTTCATATGGTAACAAAGTGTGGTTTTTAAACAGAAGTGTATAGTTTTTACAACAGTGTTTAATTATGCAAAGGATCTGTAGTGTTGTGCTAATTGTGTGTAGTGTTTTGAAAACATGGGCCCTGTTTTGAAAATCATGCTTAAGCAATCCAAAAAAACTGTAAACAGAAAACGTGTTTCCATCAATTTTTGTTATCTATATTTTGAAGTGTTGTATTAGACGAGCTTGATGGAAACAGAAACATTTGAACCATCTTCCTATGGTTTAAAGAAATAAAAACTCTAAAGCACTCCATCGAGGTGGTTTTTGGCTTTTCAATAAATGCACTAAACATTGGACGGAGACAAATCTATTGAATAAGTTCTGATGTAGGAACATTTACCTGTTGTGACTGATCAGCTGTTTCTGCTGCGGG